ACTCCCATTAAAAAAGAAAATTGTGGTAAAACATATATGACATGTACTTTTTTCCATTTCAACCATTCTGAGTATATTTCAGTTAATTCTGTTTGTTTTATTTTTATTTTATTTTATTTTTGCACCAGTTCTGGGGCTTGAACTCAGGGCCTGGGCACTGTCTCTGAGCTTCTTTTGCTCAAGGCTAGCACTCTACCACTTGAGCCACAGCACCACTTCGGGCTTTTTCTGTGTATGTGGTACTGAGGAATTGAACCCAGGGCTTCATGGATACTTGGTGAGCACTCTACCACTAAACCTCATTCCCAGCACAATTCTATTTGTTTTTACACTGTTCTCCCCACCACACACCTTAGTCACTGAATTAAACCAACTGATTTTAGATTTCTTCATGTAATTATACTCTTAATTTTTTTTTCTATTTGCTTTCCTTTAGAAGGATGGAATTTTGGCAAAGAGAGCACTTGGGAGATTAATCTAGTCCAGTCCTTGGGGCCAGTAAAGAAATGGCTTAGAAACTGAGTTTGTAAGGCACGTTAGTGTCAAAAGCAGAATCAGTTCTCAGCGTTCCTGCCCACGTTCCTTTCATTGCTGTTTGCTGTCCATGAATCTGAGCCATTCTGATTTTGCTCCTTCATGCCTCATTGTTTCTTGTTTTGAGATCATTTCAGTTCTTCTGGGATAAGCCTTGCATTTGTCTATGCTCAATAAATACTTATTAACTTGATGTTTCTTAGACTTTAATTAGTCTTTTTTTTCCATCTTTCCTCATTCTAAGAGCTTTCAATTAAACTTTAAAGGAATCTAGAAATTTGGCCACCAGCTCTAAATTTCTTTTTGTTTGTTTGCATACATAGGAGCTTTGTACTAGCCTTTTAGCTATACCTTGTCAGCTGGATTCCAACAGCCTGCCATGGCTCTTGAAAGAGCAAGAACAAAGGCTAAATGTTACTGGTTTTACAAATCAGTTATTAGGGAACTTACTTCAAGCATTTATTGAGATAAAGAGTATATGGTAAATGACCTTGTACTTAAGGAAGAAATAATCAGAACATAGTTTTCATTTGTTTGTGTTTTGAGATGCTTCTCACTCTGTGGCTTAGGCTGGCCTCAGATTCACTATGTAGCTGAGACTGGCTTTGAACTCTCAATCCTCCTTGCCTCAAGTCTCTCTAATGCTGGGATTATAGGTATGATCCACTACACTATTTTTTAAATTAAATTAACTGTGCCCCTGGGACACAGTTGTCACCACAACTCATTTCTGCTTATATTTAAATTTTAAAACATTATATGTATATACTACCTCTTGCCCTGACTAATTTTTGTTGACTCATCTCTTTCCTGAAAAAAAATTTAAAATACAAAAAAAACCTAAAGTCATCTGCCCTGCTCAGTTGCTTAGTAAAAAAGTTCTAGTTATGAAATTCAAAGATGCTTGTAAAAATACAATTGTGTTCTAAAATTTGTACTAATAGTGGATGAAGTGAAGGGAAGGTTCTTACCACAGTAGAACTAGACTCTGTGTGAGACATAAAGGGAAAAATGACATAGCTTATTAGGTAGCATGTTGTCTTTCTCCCACTTAGGTAATAAATATCAATTAGTTGTAAAGTCCTGCCTATGACCTATATGCTTGATCTGATATGTCCTTGTTTGCCTGATCTGATTAGAGTCATTTGTTTGTATGTGGATTTTTCTACTTCTGTCTCTCACAAGAGCTGTCCTGAAAGCACTAGAGTAGCTCAATCATTTTAAGACTTAATAGGCTTGTTCTTTCTCTAGTGCTGATTCTATTCTATGCTAATAAAACCTTCCCTCGTCTTTTTTTCCCCTCATTTGTTCCATTTTTATGATTTCCTTCTGTTCAATAGTCTTTTCCTCTGCTCTCTGCAGGGCTATTAAATTATTGAGTGTATTCTGTAAACTTCTGAAACTATACTGCTCCTTGAATTTGGGTTATGGCATTTTTCTTTTTAAGGAGATTATAATTTTAATTAGACTTAGCTGTGTTTCCTGTTGTCAGGGCTTGTGCCATGTGGGAAACCCCTAGCAGAGCAGTCATGGTTTCTTCCCATCTTACTAACTTACTTTCTCCCCACCCACACTCCAGCAGCTCCTCATCTTCTTTACTTAGTAGTTCCTGCAAGCAACTAAGAAGTTTATGTGAAAATCTGTCGGTGTCCCATTTTAGCATATATATATGTAATATAATTTATACTCTGGCCATTCCACAGTGATGTGAGGTGGCTTTTGATAACTTACATGTCCAATGATACTATTAAAAATAGTCAGAAAAGGAAGCCAGAAACCATTTAAGGGACTCTGTAACACAACCTATTATCAAACATAAGCAAATTCCTATAAGAAATGAAAGAAGAATGTAACCTTTAATTATGAATGTAACAGCATTGCTATTCTAGACTAGTAATGAAAGAAGATTGTAATTGTGGTCTGCAAATAATTTTGTGTGGTAACAAAATTACTAATATTATTTCTTACTTCCCCACTCCCCCAAGACATTTTTATTCCAAGAGAACTGAAGGGTTTTTTGTTTGTCTCCCAGTTACTGTGGCTCCCCTCTTTAGTCTGACTTTTCTATTCAAATCTTCTACTAACAGCTACTATCTACAGATTGGTTCATGTTATCTCATTTAGTCCTCATCACTATGTTGTGATATAGATGAAGAGGGAGCAGAATCTAAATAGGTTATTGAATCCAAACCATACAGATAGTACGTGTAGACAGTGTGTATCCAGGTCTCTCTGAATACTATGTCTGTTCTCTTTATTATTCAGTGATGGTTTTTGTGGATGAAATACATTGGAAGTGACATTAGTCAGCCTTCACTTACCATGACAAATATCTGAGATGAGAAGATTTTAGCCTATGATTAGTTGACCCATTGTTTTGGATCTCTGGTGGCACATTATGAAGAAATGAAACCTCTTACTTTGTGCCTAGGTGGAAGAGGCCAGGATCCTACATTCTCCTTCAAAGTAACACCTCACCCCAATAACCTGAAGACTTCCCCACCAGGATCACCTGTAACAGATTTCATCCTCTATCCCCCCACCCCCATCCCCAATACCCTCTAAGTATTAACATAGGAGCCTTTAGGGGGACAGTCCAGATCCAGACAATAGTAGAAAGGTTAGCCATTAAACTCCAAATATTTACCTCTCTTTAAGATGGTATGTTGATTTGTACTTGTATATGTGTACAGTGGCTTAATGTTTTTGTCTCATGTCTTAGTATTGGATTGAAGTTGTGAGGTGGGAAGGAGTGTCCTACAGTGTCCTTGTGGCAGTCAGGAGAAAGGGAGAGGCCCAACAAGGAAGTGAGAATAAGTGTTGTGCCTGACCCTAGTGCTGGCATTAGCTGGCATGCATATATTAGCTTGTATAATTACTGTACCCGCCTTTATGTTAAGTGGTGTTCTGGTCACAACTCATAGATAAGTACATCAAAGCACAGAGCACTAAGCAAATTTGTCCAAGGTCACATCATATCACCATTACATTGTAACATGTTTGACCCCAAGGCTCACAATCTTTCCCTTATAGTATTTTCTTTCTTCTAATCACAATGTGGCTAATATTCATTTAGCAACTACTTTGGTGCCAGGCAGATTAGTTACCATACTGTATTATGATATTTCATCTTTAACACGGCCTGTATCTACATTTTACAGGTGAGTAAACAGAGGCAGAAAGTCGACATCACTTGCCGAGATCAGAAGTAAAGAATAGCAAACTAAGCATAGTCTCTACAGTGAGTCTACTTTCTCACAAAGTGTAGTTTTAAAAAATTCCTGTTGTAGGGAGCTAGACTCACATCTCTCTCACTTCATTACCTGCAAAATGAAAGTAGAAGAGTTATTTAGGAAAAAGAATTTGGCTTTTTAGGTAAGTGTTCTTAAAGGGGAAACACACTTTTCTCTGGAATATCTTCAAGTATTTATTCTATTGTCTGAGATCTAGCAGCAACACAGTAGATAAGAACTGCTTATGATAGTTGACTATGATGAGTTGAACAGTAATAATCTCTGCCTTCTTAGCCGCTTTATTAAAAATTACAGAAGCTTACCCTTTAAACAGCCATATTACACAATCTTTAGTCTTCTCCTCAATACATTCAGTTTATCGGTAGCACTTCATCTTCCAGTTCACATACTTAGTAACATGTGGTTAAGTGTGGGCATTTATTGCCTTATCCTGGCTAGTATAGTCTTGGTTTAGCACATCTGATATGGTCCAGGAAGAAATATATTCTTATGAAGTAAAGTAACTTTTGCAGTACACAAAGCCAATACCTTACTTGCTCTCGTCTGGTCTCCAGTATTAAGAGCATGACAGCTCTCTATGATGTCATTATTTGGCATGTATGCAGCTTTATTGTAGGAAGGATAAAAGTGCTATGTGTGCTGAAGTGATAATGATTCAAAACCTACTTACCTATTGTTCTTTGAATTTTTTTTTCCTTTCATCCTTTGGTGTTGTTCCCTTAACAGAGTTCTTTTAGAACAAAATGAAACTAAGACAGCTGCTTTTTAAAAAAATTTTATGCTCTAGTTATTACAAGCTTCTGTAGCCTCAGGTAGTTTATTTAACCTCTCTGGGCCTCAGTATCTTCATCCTGAGGATTAGAGATAATGTATGATAAGCATCAAAATACAGCCTGCCACTGCGCAGGTGTTCAATATAAAGAAACTATTATTGTTATTATAATAATAATTATTATTATTATAAAATACAAAAACAATCTTATGCTGTAGAAGCTTGGGATTTGTTTTGTTATGGTAGTAAATAGTATTTCCCTGTGGATTTCTTTGCACTGATTATAGGAAGTCCAGGGAACATAGTGGAATAGTGTTTGTACGAAGGAAAGATAGCTCTTTGTTTCCTTCAATAGACAAAAGAAGCTCATTATCATATCCAGTAATGAATGTGGATTATTTTGAATGGTTTATTTATGTGTTTTTTTTTTTCCTTCCTAGGGATTTATCTGTGGCTTTTCAGTAGCAACAGGTGCAGCAGCAAGACTAGTGTCAGGATATGACAGCTATGGAAATATCTGTGGCCAGAGAAATGCAAAGTTGGAAGCAATACCAAACAGTGGCATGGACCACACCCACCGGAAGTGAGTAGACTTGCTGATGATGAACACTATGGAAACTTTGAAGGAGGCACTGATAAGAATCCCTGCTTTGCTTTTTTATTTTTCTGTTTTGGGAGGGTTTTTTAAAAGTTTTGTTTTCTTACTGCTTTAAAAATAATATATATTGAATATCTTTAAATGACTTCTCTTGGTGCTTTTTATTTTTGCTTTTAAATTGTATACTCGAATCATTTTTGTATTGTTATCTCATTAATCTTTAGGTTGTGTACTAAGTTGTTTTTTTTTTTTTTGGTCCAGTCATGGGACCTGAACTCTGGGCCTGGGCACTGTCTCTCAGCTCTTCAGCTCAAGGCTAGCACTCTACCACTTGAGCCACAGTGCCACTTCTGGCTTTTTTCTTTTTGCTTATGTGGTGCTGAGGAATCGAACCCAGGGCCTCATGCATGCAAGGCAAGCGCTCTACCACTGAGCCACCTTCTCAGCCCTGTGTACTAAGTTTTAACCTAGAAAGGCGCATAGGTTTTCTTTCCCTCCTAACATAATACTTGATGAGAAATAGAGGGATAAAAATGGTTATTGAAAGCTGGGTGCCCGTGGCTCATGCCTGTAATCTTAGCTACTCAGGAAGCTGAGATCTGAGGATCTTGGTTCAAAGCCAGCCCAAGCAGGAAAGTCCAATAAGCCACTAAAAAACCGGAAGTGGTGCTATGGCTCAAGCTGTAGAGCGCTTGCCTGGAGCTGAAGAGCTGAGGGATAGCACCCAAGCCCAGACAGAGTTCAAGCCCCACGACTGACGACCCCCCCCCCAAAAAAAAGGCTATTAAGACATTGAAGTTACAAAATAACATTTTGTAATACATCATTTATAAGTACATATTACTTTCTAGTTTTATAAAAAATACATTTTTCCTTGTCAGATTATATAGTCTATTGTGGGTTTTCAGTATTCATCCTGTGGATTTCATGAAATTCCTAATTGCCTTTTTTTTCCCCTCAAAAGAAATATTATTTCATTTTTAATGTTTATGGTAGGAATATATTTCATGTGATTTATTTTATCTATGTTTCCAGTATAATTGTGTAAACTGAATATGTACAACCCATCAAACAATTAGATATTTCATATATCAAACCAGGTCTTCAGAATTGACAAAAGTAATTTTGAGATAACAGCTAATCAGTCTAATATGCTTTATAGACAAGGGCTATGTAGAGAAAAACTTTCTTCTTTTTAGTAAAGTAATAGCAAGCATTTTTCAGGAAGATAATGCTTAATAACTTTATTATTATATAAATCTGCTGTTCAAACTTGGCCCTTCCATATAAGATGTTATTTGATAATTTCACGGACTTGAAAAAATGAGAATGGTCATTTCTCAAGGCTTTTCTCCCTTTAATGAGGAAGAGGTAATGCAGTTCAAGTACACAAACTTTAAGTGACAATAATGAATACTTACAAAACATGCATAGCTGACAAGCCATTGCTACTCTATGAAGTAGGTGAAGTTGGCTTGATTGCCAAGTTCACATGCCTGCTAAGCAGTAGACTTCCCAGTGCAGGCTGTGAGCTCTTGTATCACTTGAGAAAACTGAAAAGGGGCTCTTAGCACCTTGGAGGATTGTTGTATTTATTCTTCCTTGTGATTACTTCATGAAATGAATCTACATTTCTTGTATCAAGACTGTCCATATCTTTTTTACTTTTTATTTTGAAAAAATTTTGGACTATAGATGTTGTAAGTATAATAGAGTGAATTCCACAAATTTTGTGTGTACACACACGCGCATGTGTGTGTATGTATGTGTGTGTGTTTTAAGTACTTTTGATGCTGTAAAACATTAACTCTTTAATGCTGTTGACAGATAACAAATACAAAATGTTTTAATTTAGACACTAGGAGATAAGAGGACATAAGCGCTTCCTTCCTTCAGGTTTACTGCTTGCATGGGATTTGTAATTATTTTTATGATGGGCCTCATAACTTGCTAGTGACTCCATACATATCCTTATTCTAAGGTTGATTTGACTGCTCTTCCTCAGCTTGACCTTTTGGTGGTTCATCAGACCAGAGGAGCCTCTTATAAAGAGGAAACTACCTGTCATGTTGAAAAAGTGGATACTCTCTCTCAATACTTCCTACAGTTGAGAGTCATTTAGATATACAGTGTTAGGGAAAAAAAGTTTCCTAAGCGTAACTATCTCTTGACTTATGTATATGTGTTTATTTATTTATTTATTTTTGGGTCCGGTCGTGGGGCCTGAACTCTGGGCCTGGGCGCTGTCCCTCAGCTCTTCAGCTCAAGGCTAGCGCTCTACCACTTGAGCCACAGCGCCACTTCCGGCTTTTTTCTTTTTGCTTATGTGGTGCTAAGGAATCAAACCCAGGGCCTCATGCATGCAAGGCAAGTACTCTACCACTGAGCCACCTTCCTAGCCCCATGTATATGTGTTTAAAATTGATTTTTGATCTTGTCTTCATATTTCCTGCATTTTAAGCTTTTTTTTTTTTTTTTTTTTTGCCAGTCCTGGGGCTTGAACTCAAGGCCTGGGCACTGTTCCTGAGCTTCTTTTGCTCAAGACTAGCTCTCTACCACTTGAGCCACAGCACTACTTCCAGTTTTTTCTGTTACTGAGGAATCAAACCCAGGGCTTCATGCATGCTAGGCAAGCAACTCTACCACTCTACACATTCTCAGCCCTTTTAAGCTTTTTAATGTTAATCTATTAGAGTACTTCTGTCTATACGTGGTAATTACTTCTAGTGACTGGTAAATTTTTGAACATAACTTTTCAGGTAAGTCTATCATGTTTGGAATTAGATGGTGATAGGAAGGTGGTAGCCTTTGTGTTTATTATTTTTATTCTGTCCTTTTCTTTCTTTTGCTTAATGCATTGGCTTCTTTCTTCTAGATTTGTTTTCTTGTACTTCTTTGACTTCACTATGGACTCCAAGCCTTTCTTCCTTGATAAGAATACTTTTGTATCTGTTTTACCCCCAATTACTTCAGCCTGATCTTGATCTCTTTTTCCCACCCCTTATCCTCCAGCACTGTTGTGGAACTTACTTATACCTCTATACATATTCATTGAGATAAATCAGTGAGTAAGTCCTCTGAAACCTAGGATAGCAGCTAGTTTTCTCCTGCCCTGCATGAGTATGGTTTCTTTTACTAGAAAAAGAATTCCTCCCATTCTTCATGTGGCTCCCACTTGTATTCATCCTGTAGCTTTCAGCACAAATGTCACTTCCAGGAAAATCTTCAGTACAGCAATTACACTAGATATATAAAAGTATCCTCTTGTGGTGTTCTGTAGTATGTGTAATTAGATTTTAAAAATAATTGGTTATATGTATTTCTCTTCTGAGTGACAGAGAAGCAATGAGACCTATGTCACATCTATTTTAATGCCTGCAACAGTAGTCAGCACTCAGTTTAGTGCGTGTTGGATGAGTAAATAAATTGTCTTCAGCATTGTGTTCTAGGGTGTGAATTATTGAGTTTGAAGATTATTAATGAATATTGCTGAATGGCTTTCCATTAAGACTTTCATTTATATTTCCAACAGGAGTGTCTGAAATTGCTTCATCTTTGCTAGTATTATTAGTATTTATTCCTTACTATTTTGACAAGCTAAGGAATGGTACTTTATAGTTTTAATTTGCATGTCTTTGATTATTAATGAATGTGAAATCCCCCCCCCCCAAATAGTTTGTTATCCTCTCATGGAGACTGTTGTGCTAGCAAGTCTATTCTTGGTCCTCTTATCTCTAATCTGCTCCATCCTTTATGCTGTGATAGGATTAAGTTCTTCAAAACTGAACTCTTATGTTTTCAGTTCCCAGTTCAAGAGCCTTTGCATTCCTGTTACTGCTTTAGTGTCAAAGATAAGTCTACTCAGCCTCTGCACTTTCAGATTGGGATCCATTTCACCTCCTCAGTCCTCTCTCCCTGTCCCTCAGGGTGAGATTATTATTGTTCCTGACATTCAGTTGATTTGGACTCTGTGCTATTTCTTCTGCCTAACTGCCAATCTGATGCTTGAAACACTTAAGATGGGTCTCATAATTGACCTTTTTATGAAATGTTTCAAAACTAACCTTATCCCATAGTGAGCTTTCCTTTATTTTGATTGCCTGAACTTTTCTATCTCATACTCATTATTCTATTGCCTTCAATTTGCTCTCTAATTATATTGTGTTTCTCATCTGTCTGTATTAATTATTGGTTGCTAGGTAACAGTATTACCATAAACTTAGTGGCCTCATGCAAGACATGTTTGTCATCTCAGTCTCTGTGCTGTGGCTAGCCTCTCACAAGGCTGCAAGAATTCAGTGAGGGTTGGTGGTTCATCTGAAGCTCAGTGAAGGAAAGGTCCTTTTCTAGGATCAAGTAATTGTTGGCAACATTCACTTCCTAGAGAATTGTTTAACTGAGGCCACCTCCGTGCCATGTAAGCTTTTCCATATGGCAATATGTCCCATCAGAGCCAACAATGAGATTTTCAGTAGAGTCTACTAGGAAGATCAATGTTTTAGTCCTATGAGTGGAATCATTTTTGCCATATTCTCCTGGCTAGAAGCAAGTTGCAGATTCCATTGAAATTCAAGGAAAGATTACAAAGACATGATCGCTTAAAGTCAGGAGGAAGGGAGCTTTCCTAGACTCTGTCTTCCTTTCTATACTACTCTTCCTCCCTGAAGCCCCATATTTTCTATAACTCTCAGATTTGGATACCCAAGTATTCCTTAATTAGGTCCTATTTTAAAAAATTAGGTCCTATTTAATTATGGCGAAGAAAGGAAGAAAGTCAACAGTATTAAGAGAAAACATCTATGACTTATTTTAGACAGAGTGTTTAAGATGCCAACTGACTATAGGAATTCTTTCTCTCTAGTTAAGAAATAGCAACATTTTATTTCCTCCTGGTTCTGTTTTTAACCTGTTAACGTATTTACTATAGTAAACAATGTAAAGAAAAATGTCAGACTATTTATGACATACAGGGGGAAGTCTCAACT